ACAGAGAAAGACAGAAACGGAGGAAGAAAGAAAAGAAAAGAAGGAGGAAAAGCATTATAACCAGGTACAAGATAACAAAGGCAATCCCGGAGAAAGCACTCTCAAAGGCAGAACTGCCGAGTGGCAAAAGCAATAACTCTGGTGTTGGTTAAACCTTCTTTATGAATCCTCCTGCCTCCATTGACTGGCTTGACATGATGCAGAAACACCAAAAACCAAACCAAAACAAAAAAACTACAGAAAATGGTTTTGATGAAAGGGACTGCCCCAAAATATCATTATGGATATTAAATATGAACAAGCCTCCACTAATTGTTATTCCCAGACCAAGCTGGACTAAAATCCTTCCTCTACTAATCGCTATATAAAGTTACCATCAGTAGTCTTCATAGCTGTTTTGAAAATTGACTTATTTGTTTGAAAATTAGAAAAACTGAACACTGTAGAACAATTATGTACATCAAACTGGATCCCATGGAAAGCAATCCCCACAGAGCATAGTCGCTAAAGAGAACCACACAAATATTTAAAAATTCACTACTCTTATACTCTTTATCACACAGAACATTCAAGCTGTACAAATACTTTGCTTTCCAGAGAGGCTGTCAAGCAGGGACAAATGAAATGTACTGGTTTAAAAGTAGAAATGGGGCCCTCTTTGCTGACTTCCTCTTGCACAGAATCTGGAGGTTGTAACATATTGCCACACAGTACCATGAGTGTTCAGGATTCTCTTCCACCGTAAACCCTTCATGAAGCCTTAAACTAACTAAAATATTAAGCAGATGATAAGACCAGATTTCTTGTGCTGGAGAGAGACAGAAGCAGGGAGTTTGCACAAACCTGGTCCTGAAAGAGAGTGTAGAACTTGCTTTAAGTCATGCAGAATATATTCTAGGACCACAACCCATCAAATCAGAAATCAGTAACAACAACATAACTACGAAATGCCCTAATATGTGAAGTTAAACAACATTCTTGTAAACAACCCATGAGTCAAAGGAGAAATCTCAAGGAAAACTGGGTAGTATTTGGAACTAAATAACATTTTTAACTTTGCAATATTCAGCCAAAGGCAGTGCTTAAAGGGAAAATTCAACTTGTATGAAGTGTGATCAACAAATACAGTGAATGCTTACATTTAAAAAAAATATTGCAATAAAAGACACATTGCCATTAATTCCACTCAAAATCCTTCCCCTCGCTTCAAACACACTAATCCCATTGTTCTTGCCACTTTCTGAAAAAAGCTCTGGAAGTCTTTTGTAAGTGTCTTTAGTTGCATTGCCATAACTGCTTTGATGGCCTCTATCAATTCAAAATATTTACTTTGCATGGTCATTCTGAATTTGTGAAAGAGTCAGAAGTCGTACAGTGCCAGATTTGGTAAATAAGGTAAGTAAGGACACCTCATAATCTCTTTATATGCCTGACTTTCCAATGGATGGTACTTAGCAGAGGCCTTCACTGTATTTCTGATCATGCCTCATAAAGACACGCATGAAAGAGGACTTCCAGAACTGCTTGAGAAAGTGGCAAGAACAATAGGATAGGTATGTTCAAAGCAAGGATGTTTTGAAGAGGATTAATGGCAATGTGTGTGATGTGTGCATTAAATTTATTTAAACATCAACCATATATTTTAATCATCCCTTGTACACTGTTTTATTAGGGGACAGAAGTGTGAAATCAGTCTTGTAAACTCTCACCTCAAAAGGCTAGAAAAAACTCAAATTAAATCCAAAGGATGTATTAAGGAAATAATAAAAAGAAAAATGGAAATGAACAAAGTAGAGAACAATCAATAGAGATAAAGTTAACAATTCAGGGATCTAGCTGGTGAGTGCACCAGTGATTGTTTTGCCATTCATTCAACTTCGTATCCTTGGAATTCTTTAGTATAAGACAGCAGTAAATATAACGTCTCAGTTCTTGTACAGCCTCTGAAGGTCCACTTGAGGTCTCCTTGCCCTTCAGCTACCAGCCTCTCTCATAATAGATGCGCCTGTAGCCCCAACCCCATCCAGAACTCCCCAGACACCTAACTGAAACACAGCCCTCCAAGGTTCAAACTCTGGCCATAGGACCCCAGATGACTAACCCAGACAACTAGCCCAGGCCCTGTACTTGGTGACCACACCTGATGTCTCCCTCGGCCAGCAGCAATCCCAGCGTCACACCGACTCCAACCTGTCACCGCCAATGCAAAGTCTCCGTTTTATCCGTAACCATTTACGCCTTGACGTCTGCTCAGGGCGCCGCAAACGATCCCTGAATGCAAAGCCGCGTTAAATAATCCTCCACGAGCGCCCACCACAAATCACATTTGAAGCCATGAAATCCCAAGGGCGCCTTAGAAATCCAACGGAATTTCCGGTAATGCACACCTGGAGACGCCAGCCCTCCGTACGTCACTTCCGCTTCTGCTTCCGATACCTAGGCAGGATCGTGGGGCTCTCGGGTTGTTTCGCAGTTCTATACCCACTTCAGTCCTGATCCCTGGAGGAATTACGGCTCCGAAACCTGGCGGCGTCCATTGCACTACCGCGTTCTGGGAACGGCCATTTTGAAAACTACGTCCTATGGAAAGCGAGATAATCATTCCAGGAGACGGATTTCGCCCACTCGTGACAAATAAAACCAATCTTTTCTGAGCGTTTGGATACTTCTAATCCCTAGTACCTTCGTGCCTGAAGTTGCTGCCAATGTACAACACATGCTTACTTGCTTCTCGGTGCCATTACCTGGTCTTCCAACCTGTCTCTGTATTAGGGTAGTTTCTTGGTTCTAATCCTTTGTCATTTCTGATGTGTAATTTTCAGCATCTTTCCATTCAAAGTATTTTATACCGTCTCAGCTGCCACTGTTGGAAGGGAAGACAATTCACCCTTTACTCTAAGAAATGACAAAGGGTTAGAGCCAAGATAATATAAGAGATTTTCACGAAATTCAAAGACATATTCTTCTTGATAAAATAATACTTCTAATTTAGAAAAAAATGACAAAAATTAGATCATTATCATGCAACTCCTGCTGAAATAATTCGTTGAGGCATGAATCATTAATCAGTGCTACAAGACAAGCATTAGCTAAAAATATATAAGATAGGATGCCTTTCAACTGAGAAAACAAACTGTCAACACTTTAAGCAAGAAAAACTTAGCTTAGCTAATGAAAGTTTAAATCACTATTATATGGCTATTGTCAGAAAACAAAAATAACTAATGCGGGCAAAGATGTGAAATAAAAGGGAACTCTCATATTCTGTTGTTGGGATTGTAAATTAGGACAACTATTACGTAGAGCAGTATGGAGATTGCTCAAAAACACTAAATATAGCTGTATAATGTGACTTGCTATTTCCCTTCTGACTATAGAGCTACAATAAATGAAATCACCATACCAAAGAGGTAGCTGCATGCTCATGTTTTTGCATATTCACAACCCTAAATATTAAATCAACCTGGGTGACTATCAACAGACAAATGGATAAAGAAAATACTGGGTATATGCACACAATGAAATATTATTGATCAAAAAGAAAAATGAAACCCTGTCATTTGCAACAAAATGGGTTCAACTCTAAGACATTGTGTTAAGCCAGACACAGAAAGACAAGTGCTACATACTATTATCTGTACTATGTGAAAGTTAAAAAATGAAAGTTGGCTTAAGTAGAATTGTGATTATTAGAGGTTCAGAAAGGAATAAAGATGCAGAATAGTTTAATAACAGCAACAAAAAAGAATAAAGAGGGCCAGGGATTTAGCTCAGTGGTTCTGCCACCTGCCTTGTAAGCTCAAGGTCCTGAGTTTGATCCCCGGTAGCAAAAAAAAAAAAAAAGAACAAAGAAATTTTCCTGGGTGGTTGAACAGTTCTGTATTCAGATTATGCATAGTGGTTACATGACACTATACTTCAGTTAAAATATTATAAAGCTAACCCTCAAAATAATGAAGTTACCCAGACGCAGTAGTGTGTATTTCTAATCCCAGCTACTTAGGAGGTAAGGCATGGGGATCAAAAGATTGTGGCTACTCTGGGCAACACTGCAAGACTCTGTCTCAAAATAAACTTAAAAAAATAAAGGTAGTTGGAAACCGTCTTTGTTACTTTTCTCATTGCTGAGACAAAATAGCTGACCACATAATGACATTATATTTGAGGATTCCTAAGCTTATTTCCAAGCTTATTTGTTAACACTCTTGGTGGCAAGGCTTATGATTGCATGATACTGTGGTTGCGAGGCTGCTGGTTTTCAAAGTTAGGGAGTTAGGGAGAGTAAGGGAGAGGCAAATGGGAGTAGACCACGTTAAAAATACATTAACCCCACTGTCTTTTGAAGATTTAATTTTTGTAAGCATTTATTCAAATTTTAGAGTATTAATGATAGTTGAATTTGATAATTTTGACAGTGTTTATGTTGCTTTTATGGAAAAATAGGTTAACAAAGTTCCTCAGTCAGCTGTCCTGGAAGTTTTACCTCTCACCTCATTTGTCGTTGGACAGTAATCTCATAAGATGTTAAGTCATTAATTGTCCAGGTAAATTCTCCAAATCGTATAATCATTAAATGACTTTCCACAGCTTATAGTTGTAGTTGGTACAAAACTTCATTACTGTTTATCAGCATACAACACTGAATCCAATGTAATTATTGCCCTAATAAACCACTAAAAACTCCAGCATGTCTCCAAATTATCCCTTCTCATACTTCTCTCCATGCTGCTAAATATTGCAAAAGGAAAATATAACAAGAAAGCATCAGGATAATGGTAACACGCAGCCTGCTGTTGATTTGGTTGCACATCTGCCTTGTGAGTGGAGCCCAAAGCCTCTGCACAGCTCAGTCAATACCATAGAAATCTTCTTACCACACGTCATGTTGTAGACGTCTTCTTTGTTCTAGATGTTCTCATATCCTTGAATGAATGATTGAATAACTGATGAATGAGACCACTGGCAAATTTTTATTTCTTTTTTTATTACTTTTTCATCATTTAAGAGCAGCAATTTGGTGCTCGAGGATCTCGAAGCATCAGTATCAGGGGGCTGACGGTGGGATAACAAGCTGCCAGAAAAGTAGTCATGTGCTGCAGCCACGGGCGAGATTTGAAAAAGACAGTATTATAAATGGTAAGAAAAGAACTGATTAAATAAAACAAAATGAAGTTGCTTGCTATAAGCAAGATGGTTTGAGTGGCTTTTGTCTCAGGGGAGAATCTGTGGGTGTTGCTGCTGCTGTGAATATGCTTCACTCGCTGCTGATGTCTGTACAGGAGAAGTGCCATGTAGGCACTGGCCCAAGCCATGAGTCCCAGGAACACAACATCTGCCAGTGTCATTAGAAATGTGTATTTTGGAGTAGATGTTTGAGAATTTCTGGAAGAACATAAACCATAGTCCCGCACCTTGGTAGAATTGTGATTTTGTTGAAGGCCTTCAATATGTATAGGAATAAAGGTATTTATCAGCAAGTTGAAGATCCAACACAGAACACAGGAGAAACTGATTTTCTTCCAAGATCGGTCTTTGGGCCCCACCCACCCTCCAGCTCTGGGGCTGATGGTGATGGCCTGAAAGTTGCTCAGGAGGCAAGTGGTGCAGAGAGAAAGGCCTCGGGCCACTCTGTGGATATAATAGACAAGTTTACATCCCGTGTTTCCCAGGATGGGTGTCATTCCCCAGATTACCATCATGTGGGGAATCCCCTTGGAGAGAAGGACTAAGAAGTTGGCCACAGCCGCATGGGTGAGAATCAGGTGTGTGGGCCTTGGTGCATGGCCAGTACAGGATGTGGGGGCATAAGCTGAGAGAAGAAAGGTATTCCCCACCACCCCGACCCCAGTCTGGGCCAGGAAAAGTAATTTCAGGATAAAATCACCAGGAGTCATTCTCATGGGACCACAGGAAGAAGTTGCTTAGTACAGTTGTTCAGAAAGCCATGGAGGTAGAACTCAGTGTAGATTTTTTTCTACATTCCCATTTTTGATAGGAAATTGCAGTTGTACATAAACTTCCCTTTCTGAGATGTCAATTATCTCTGTAGGAAGAGAACTGCACACCAATGAGCTCAAAATAACCACTCAGACTTTCCAGCCTGGCATGTTTATTTACATGCTTATATAGCTATGTGATATGGCTTCTTATTCCATCTATTCTGCATGTCCAGAAAAGAATCCAAAAGGTAAAGCCTTATCTGTCATATGAAAACTTTTCTTGAACAGCCACTATATACCAAAAGAGGTTATCAGTCTTCATTGCTCCTGAAGGCTCAGAGCCTAGTGTGGATGACACATATATAAAATCTGATTAAAATAAAATGTAAATCTAGCCATGAAAGAAAGATCTAAATGGTATTGTTGGCACATGTATCTAGGATTATAGCATTTAGTAAATGTAAAAATTGTATTCTATTAATTTTGTAAATTATTCCCAAATCATTATACTAAAATATTCCTAATTCAATATATATATATATATGGTTAATATGTATAAATATATATGTTAATCTGTATCCCCTATCTCTCATGTATACTCTTAATCCTCTTCCATGATATAACCATGGATCTCAGGTATGCATTCTTTAAAATTGCTCTATGTTCTCACAAAATGTGAGTGTAATTCAGCAGTTAATAATAAATACAAGATTAAATTGGGTGCTTATGCTCAGGACCTTAAAACATCCTTTCTCATAAATAATGCATTAAACATTATACTGGAACCATGTAATAAAGAAAGTATCCATATGAGATGACCATGTGAGATGTATACCAGGAAAGCAAGCACATATCAATATTGTATACTAATAAAACTCATCATTTTGACATTAACAAGAAAATTCATATCACTTTCTCCAACATGCTTTTTTTAAAAGCATTTGAGCAAAATTAACAATATGATTTCAAAAGGAAGGCAAAGATAACAGAAATCTATGGGCTTACTTATAGTGATAACATATATACACATATATATTTTATTATTTATATGTATATTTAGATGCACACATATGTGCATGCGAATGCACACACGCGTGCACACACACACACACACACACACACACAAACCCCAGCACTTTACTTATGGTGAATATTGTAGTGATAAAGCAAAAAAACTACTATTTCAATTAGTTATTAATATTGATCTATAAGTATGATTCAATATAATTAAAAATTAATGAAAAAATATTTTTGAAAGAAATAAAGCTATTGGCAGGTGACATAATCAACTAGTAAGAAACTTCTAGAAAAGCAAGGTTAAAATTAATTAATAGAAAAATTTGGTATAATAGCAAGGTACAAAATGAAGATAAAAGAAATCAGTCTTTGAAACCTACTTCTTATGCATGAGGTCCTGGACTTAATCACCAACTTGAAAAAATAAAAAACAATACCTTCAAAAACAAGAATACTGATTGCTATATATGATATTACAGAAAATCCTATTTACAAATCCATAAAAAATTATAATGTTTTTACAAATGGACTTAAAGAAATACATAGAAAAGCATGACAAGAAAAAAAATTTAAACACTCCAGTAGAATACCGAAGTAAACCTGGTCAAATTCTAGACAGTCTTTACTCTTAGATAGGACATCTAAACATTAGTAAGATATCAGTACTCCATAAATTCACCCAAAAATTTAAAGAACCACGGGCCAGGGATTTAGCTCAGTGGTTCTGCCGCCTGCCTCACAAGTGCAAGGTCCTGAGTTTGATCCGTGGTACCCCCCACCGCCTAAAAAAGAACCAACTAAATACAACAAAATCTTTCTCCTGCAACCAACTTGACACTAAAAATTAGTTGGATATTAAAATGGAATATGAGATGGGAAGAGTGTAAAACAGCTGCATGATAAGGAGCAGCAGTCTATATAATGGTATGATTCACAGTGTTAAACTTGCATATAGACAGACAGACATGTAATAAATGAGATCAGACAGATCCCTAAATGTTTTAAATGAAATCATCCTTATAAGCCCTGGAAAAAAGCAGACCAAGTGCTCCTGGATTGGGGCAGAGAAAGCCTTTTTTTTTTTTTTTGGACCAGAGATTGAACTCAGGACCATGCGCTTGCTAGGCAGGTGTGGGGGAGAAAAGCTTTTTAACTCTTACTCAAAATCAAAAGCAAGAAAATAACGAGAAGGCTAACTGCATAATAAATTTTTAAAAGGTTTCAGGGCCAACAGACTGTAAACAAAGTAAAAGAGAGATTTTCTGCTTCTTGTATCACTGGATAAATCTCATTAAACCAACTCTCCCATAAATAATAACCATTAACTGGAAAAATATAAAGCATAACTTAGCTGTTGAGTTTGCTAGAGTCCACCAATGTAAGATAATTATGGTGGTGCATACCTGTGATCCCAGCTTCTGGGAGGCTGAAGTAGGAGGGTCATTGGTTCAACTGCAGCCTGGGACACATAAAAAGATGTTTGTCTCAAAGTAAATAAACAAATAAATGAAAAAATAATTTTTAAAGGCTGGGGAAGTAGATTCATGTGAAGTCCCTGGGTCCAATCACCAGTACTGCAAAGTAAATGAGATGATAGATAGATAGATACATGATAGATGATAGATAGATAAACCTGTTGAGTTTACTAGTTTACTAATCAGTGAATAAAAGCAAGCAGATCACTGAAGGAGGATGACTCTTGAAAGAAGTGACTTCCATTTTTAAAAGTGACTTTGAGCCTACGTGCAGGCTTTGGTTGGCACCATGCAAAATGACTAAAACCAACATAAATCTTGGCAGTACAGCCAGTCAGAAAGGAGAAGACCCAGTTCAGGGCAACAATCAAAGCTGCAAAGTAAGGAGAATGCTGTGAAAAAGAAAGCTGCAAAGAGGCATCACACACTATGGGTAGCTTTTCCCAGTCTCTGGCTGATGTCTGAATATGCACGCATGGGGCAGGGGCTGCATAGGCCATGTATTTAAGCCCAAAGTAACTCCACTGGGATTTCAGAATATGCTATTTGAGTTAAGCCAAAATAACTAAAGAGAACATTTTGTACTCTTTTTAAATTCTTCTGATGGAAATGTAAGAGAATCATCTCTAGATGTAGCAATACACAATCCAAAATTGCTAGATGTATAATCAAACAGGCAATTTAACCCTACTCAAGTAAAAAGGCAACCAGTGGAAACTAAATCCATGACAGCCCACATTTTAAAATTAGCAGACAATGACTTTAAAGTAGACTTTATCGTGACCAAAGGGAAAAATAAATGAGGTAAAATATTGACCATAGAGGAAGCAAGTGAAAATGTAGGAAATGAATAAAACAACATCTAAAACAAAAAATAACTACTGCATAGGTACAGTTTTAGGCTTTCAAAGGGAACAATAATTAGACTTTGAAAGGGATCAATAGAAATGAGCAATCTACATGAAAATAGACTGGGGAATAAAAAGAGTAGACAGTACGTGTGAGACAGTATTAGGAAGTCTAAAGTATGACTAGGTGGGTTCTCCTACAGTTAAAAAGCTATACAAATGGGACAAATATTTTTAAATCATTTAAGGGAGATAGAAAGCATCTGGAAAGAAATCCAAACAGGAGACGTGTTTACACTTGATGCACTGCACCGGTCAGGATTTGTGGCCGGTGGCTCTGGCGAAGGATTCTATGATGATGTCTGTGGGCTCTGCATGCTTCACCACTCCAAAGGAAGAGAATGGGAGAAATCACCACCCACGTCTGAATAGAAACCCTCTCTGAATGCTTGACTCACACTGGAACTGTGCATGAGGCAGGAAAGATTCCTAGAAGGCCTGAGGGAAAAGCAGGTGGAGAAGAGAGGAACCTACTCTTGAGAGACAGACAGGCCTGCCTTGAGGTGTGCGAGATCACTGCCAGTGTCCTCAGTGTCCTCAGTGTGGCTCAGGTGAAGCCAAAGACTTCTAGGTTTGAAGAGTCAGACAGAGCCTGAGCCCAGCACGGCATCAGAAACCTGGAGAGAATGCTGGGAAGAGGAAAACTACACAAAGGACGAGTTCTCTGTCTCAGTATGGTCCTATGCAAGTCCATGGCTGCCACGGCTGACCACCAAGTCGTGCACAAACAAGGGAGGTCCCAGGGGCTGGCTAAAGACACAGCAGCTGGAAGCTCCCAAGGACAAATAGAAATCAGCTGCATACCCGGGAAAGTTATCTAGTAACCAACACCTTCAGAGGACAGCTGAATCCAGAATAACTACAATGTATTTCCTATGATACTCCCTTTCAAAATAAAACTTTTATTTTATTTTTTTGGATATATTAATAATAGCTGGTTTGGAATCTTTGTCTAAAAAACGCAACATCTAGCCACATATTGAGGCAGTTCTTATTCTCTATCTTTACTTCCCTGAATATGGCTAACATTTAACATCATTCCTCATATATCTACTACTTTGCTGGAATTACACACACATACACACACACACACACACACACAATTAGCTTATAATAAGCTTAGAATTTAACACCATCTTTACCAACAAACAAGAATGCTTTTCAAAAATACTGAACAATGACAAATGACTCCAAGATTCTGTATATCCCAGTCTAATGTGAATACATCATTACACCAGGGAGCAAAATGACTCATATGTGCAAGTAAGATCTTACAACACTGCGTGTGATGCATGAATACCAGAAGACTCCATGTACTCTTTTAATTGGGCTCCAATAATTAAGGGCCACAGACTGAGCACTGATCCAGATGACAGAAACTGATTCCTCACAGTTCCGGAAGCTGGGAGTCTGAGATGAGAAAAGCTGCGTGTCAGGTTCTGGTGAAAACTATTCGAGGTTGCAGGCTGCCCTGCTTCTCACTGTGTTCTCACATGACATAGAGAGGGTGAGGCAGCCCCCTGGGGTCTCCTCATGGGGCACCGATCCTATTCTT